AAATAAATATTAAAAATTAAATATTAATAGATTATAATACGTGAATATAAATATATTTTATTATTATTAAAATAAATTAAAGATCTCCAGAGTTTAATATAATAATCTTTGCTCCAGAGTTTTTTAACGACGACGAAGGTCTTCCGGAGATCTATGCCCGAAAATCTTCAGAGATCTTTGCTAAAAAATTTACTGATGTTCAAAACAGAAAGCAAATGTTCAAATTTTAATTAGAGATTTTTCAAACTAGATAAAGATTATTAAAATGATATAAGGTGTATGAACCAATTATAAATTAATATAAAAATCACAATAGTATACAAAATAGTTTTTTTTTCTTTAGAATAATAAGTGGTTTTTTTTCTTTTTATAGTTTTACACATAGGTTCTACAGGTTTTAAGGAGTTTTTCTACAGATTATTATAGATATTCATATGTAAATACATATATGTACCTCTATTTTTTACTTTTTAATTTTTAATAGATTTAGTTAGAGCCCATAGAATATAATGGAATATAATTAGTCTGTAGTTAATTATATTTGGAAAGTTTTTTAAGTTTCTGTTTATCAAATAGCAGATAGAGATTTAGAAGTATACATCCTGGTAAGTTAGTTCTCTATCTATATTATTAGGTCTCTGGTATTAATAATATAGGAAGTATAGAGAGCAACAAGCTAACCAATAGGTAGTATATTCTATTTTAGATAATTTAAGAAATAGATAGAGTTCAACAATTTGTTACAAAATATATAAGAGTACTTATAACAATATTCAATAAACAAGATATATGTCAGTTGTTAAAAAAAAATCCAAGAATACTATTTATTATATTATTAATCTATAGGTTAAAAAATATTATTTTTAATAAAAAAATAAAAAATTAACTTAATAAATTTATTTATATTTGTTTTAATATAATTTTTTTTAAAAAAAGTTTTTTAAAAAAATAAGAAAATCAAAAAAAATTTTAAAAAAAATAAATTAATTTTTTTAATTAACAATTTTTTAATTATATAATTGTTTTTAATTAATTAAAATTTAAGATATTTTATTAAACTTAATTTTATTTTAATAAAATATTTTGAAATATAAATTGTTTAATAAAATATTTTAATATAAAAAATTTTTTTTATTTGTTTTGATTTTTTGTAAACTATTTGACAAATATTTTTACAAATGTTTAGACTTTTAAAATATTATTTCTAAAATTATTTTTTATTCCTTTTCTTTTTATAAAAAGAATATAAAAATATTTACAGGTCAAGTAACAAGTTTTATATAAAACTTAAATTCTTTTAAAAAAATTTTTTCAAAAAAAAAAGTTATTTAAAAAGAATTTTTTAAGTAATGTGAAAAAAAGTTTTTGTTATTTAAATTCTATTATAATATAAGTATTAATAAGAAATATAATATATTTTTCTATTAATAAATGTTAAAAGTTTAACAAATATTTTAGAAAATTTATAGAATTAATATAAGTTATTTATTATTTATCAACAAAATTTTTTGAATATAATTATAAGACAAATATTAACTACAAAAAAATTAAAAGTAATAGGCTTGCAATTACTACAGTACTTTAAATTTAAGCAAAATATATTTATAAATTAGATAAATTATATAGTCAAGAAATCAAATAATAAATTTAATTATAACTTATTTTGGTATTTCATTTATTTTTTATTTATAACAAAATATGTAATATTTAAATTATGTGCAAAATCTTTATTGAAATTTAAACATTTCTATTTATGAATTAATATATCAAGTATTTTTTTTGAAATTCAAGATAGATCACAAAGAAATAATATTATTATTTCAATGCAATTTTAAAATTAATAAGGATAAGAATGTCCCGGGCCATATGATGATTGATGATATCCTTGTCCGCTAGGAGGTGGATAAACATTATTGTTAGTGGGTGGATAAACATTAGTGTTATTGGGAGGGTAAACATTAGCGTTATTGGGAGGGTAAACATTAGCGTTATTGGGAGGATAAACATTGGTGTTATTGGAAGGGTAAACATTAGCGTTATTGGGTGGGTAAATGTTATTAGAGTTACTGGTGGGAGGATAAAAATTAGGATTGCTAGTGGGTGGATGGACGTGACTGTCACCAGGTGGATAAGGTGGTTGCTGTTGATACATGCCGTCATTACCTATTGAAGGGGGTGGTGGAGTATAATTATAATTCGGATATCCGCTAAATGATGGGTACCCTCCAGTATGAGGGGCACCACTCGGTGTGGGAGTAGGCACCGGAAATGACATTGCTCCTTGAGGAGATGTGGACATTTGGGAGCTGGGGGTTAAAGGATAACCTTGTGAAACTGGTGGATATTGCGTTGAAAATGGCGGATAAGGCGTTGAATTAGCTTGCGAAACTGGTGGATACGGAGTCGAATTAACTTGCGAAACTGGTGGATATGGCTGTGAAACGGGAGGGTATTGCTGCTAATAGTAAGGTATAATTGTTTACCACAGTATCAAAAAAGGTAAATAAGCATTATTCATAGGGTTCTTTAGATATAGCTTACCACAGGAGGAAGTTTCGAACTTTGGAGTGGGGGAGATAAAACTGGATTATTGGGAGGGTAATTATGTGGAGGAGGATAAGGTGCTGATGCATTATTAGAAATAGGTGTTGTGGGGGGATAATTGCTTGATGGGGGTTTATAAGGTGGAGATTGAGTTTGATGAATAGTCGTAGGAGCAACAGGATGAATTCTCTGGTTAGCGGATACTGGAGGTGGTTCTCCCTTTGGATTAAAATTACACACGACAATAATTACTATATGATCATAGATTTATTAAGAATATAGATAAGGACTTACTGCACTATAAAATGTCATCTCAAGGAAAACTTCACCAGCATATTTGTTACGAAATTTGACCTCAAACCATTCTATATTTTGGTGAGAATCATTTTAATAATAAGTACATTGAAAAAACACAACTTCGTGAACACATTAAAACTCTCCTACCATCCACTTCTCCTTTCTCCAACACATTCTTCAAATCAATTACCGTTTCTCCAATAAGATCATGTTCTCGCTTGTCTTCAATATATACTTGGACCTTCATTTTTTTATTACTTGATTCATCCTTAAGCTGGAAACGTACTTCATCATCCCAATTCGGATTTTGCCCGCCTCGCTTATCTGCCTTGGTTCTTCTGGCTGTATCCCCTATGCGAAAAGTAACAAAAGGATCAGCCTTACCAATTCCACTACTGGTCAAATTACGCTACATGAAAAAAAGAAAAAGTTTTGGAATAAGCACAATTCACACTGTTAATATTTATTATTAATTACAATACTTACACCCTTGATCGCTACAACAACAAGTTCACCCAAATTCTTGGACATGTCTTCTGAATAAAAAATACCGAATGTCTTGTTATTAATTGAATGGCGAGGTCTTAGGTTTATATTACGTATTGTGATCTCCGTGTAACAAACAAGTCTTATACGTAATTATATCGTGATAGGCATAATGCTTTATTCCTATTTAAGGTTGTTTAGGAAGTGAATTGAGCTAGTCACTTACCCTGCATAAAACTTGTTTATCCACACAATTGGATCTTTTTAAAGCTTTACTTAGTTTTGAATTACCAAATTTTATGGCAATAAGTAAAAGACAAAGACGCAATTTAAAGAATAATTTTAGAATTGTCGCAATTTTGTTATTACTTTTGTTTACCTTAAAAATTATGCACGAATACAAAAATGTAAATAAAATAAAATAGTATCTACAACTTGATTGTCAATCATAAACTAAATTGATTTCATTTTTCTTCCATCAGTCCAACATCCCGCCTTCGTTATACATGAAAGTCTCCCGGGCAAAGGAAAGTGATTTTTTTGAACTGGTTTCTTCTATCAAATCTTTTGGATTATTCCATCTTTTGAATTATTTTTTCCCACGATCCTTAATCGCCAATCCAATGATCCCACCATCCTCTATATTATAATAAGCCAATGAAACTTGATTTTTCATTACTGCCCCACCGATTGTAAGTTTCTGCTTTCCAGCTGGAAAGTTTAATTGTGCAAAAATTTTATCTTTCACCGTTGAAACCAGAGTTGCGAGTGACAGATTTTCAAGGATAATCGTTTGTCCTTGACAATTCCACTCTGGCTTCTCGGGAATTGTTGGGCATTGAATTTGTACATTTATTGGACCCTTGGAAAATAAGTAATAAATAAATAGACTAAAACATCGAAACCAAAATTCATAAAATCACAAAAACTTACTTGGTGAGTCATCAGCCACTCTTCCTCAGAAACCAGGATTCCTGTTGAGTCCATTTTCACACGTTTATTCATTCCATAGGGATCAGTTTCATCGTCCAATGGTCGACCTAATTAAACATTATTGAAGATATGAGTATCGATATTAATGAGTCGGATAGAATTGATCAAGATATGCGGATGACACAATTACATAATTAATTATCATACCTGGCAAAGGTGGTCGATGAAATTGTTGGGGAATTTGCGGGATGGGCGGACGACCCTGTGAAGGTTGTGCGACACCCGCATTTGTAATATAACCTTGTAACTGATGAGCAAAAGGTACAGATGAACCGACATAACCAGGATACACCACCGGAGGCATTGCTGGAACACCTTGCGAACCGTGAGTGGGGTAGCCTTGATACATAGTCGCTTGAGCCGGCGATGTATGTTGTGGAGGAATATGTGATTGTTGGTGTAGGTGTGGATGGTGTTGCATTTGATGTTGATGTAGATGTGAATGTTGATCTTGCTGTTGGGGTATCCTCGGGCCGATTTTGGAATCACTGTCACTAAATGATTTGAAGGTGTCAGACAAAGGTTTTAATAGTACAAAGATAAAGAGGTGACCAATTTATCCACCTTGTCAGTCCCTTGCTTCTATGAATGGCAGCAATTTGTTCGTCAATTGAAACTCCGGCAGCCGCGCGTTGAGTTGCCATATTTATAGAAGCCGTATGACCATCCCACACAACCTTCTCCTTTTCGATTCGCTTTTTCTTTTCCTCCTCTTCTCCAATCTGTAATTAAAATTTGAAATATCAATAAAGTTTTGAATTAATTAATTAGAAGGCATAAGTAATTTAAGTACCTTGCGCCCAATTTCAGTTTCTTCATTTCCAAAAATATCTGAACGATAGCCGGAAAAAGCCTTGAGATTCTTGGCGACGTCCGTCCCTATAACATTATATGATAACGTAAGGACTTAAACGTTCTTATTAAAAAAATTCTAAACAAAAAAAAAAATAGAAAACCTTCTTGAAGCAAGTTCGATTCTTTCTTCTTTGCTTCTGCCGCCATTTTTTGTTCTTTCCATTTAGGGTCTAACAACTCAATACGGACGTGATCATCCATTTCATCAACGGGAATGGCTTGTTTACATCTAGGACAGATTACTGTTGGTTTTTCAGTGGTAACTTTAGGTGCATATGCTGTTTTTTGTTTGCGAAAATAAAGATGATCAGCTACTAATTAAAATTAACATTAACCGATACGAAGATTATTTGTACCTTTCGGCGTATAATCCTTGACGATTTTCATTGGAGCAGAAGCATCAGGAGGCTTAATTTCTGTTACTGCAAGTATATTATCGTGATCTTGTTCTTCATCTTCTGCTTCTTGATTATCATCATCTACCATGTCAACATCATCGTCCATCTTTATACAATGAGGTACTTGTTAGTCACATTACATATAGCAACAGAATAACAATCTGATGTGAAATACCTCCATATCAATTTCTGCAGCTTTGTCTTCTTGCGTTTCTACAATGTTAACAGATGCCATCTTCTTTTGAGTAAGTGTCATATTCTCCAATTCTATAATACTCATTGGTGGAGGTAGATCAATGGTTTCGTCTGCCTCTGTGAACTCCACAGTTTCCACTATAACAAAGTCATGCCAGTCGATTGAGGCATATGCAACTATAAAAAGAGTAAATTTAATAAGAACTTGTTCGCAAACAACAACATTGATAAATTTAACTCATGGACAGCTCGATGACAACGTACTTCTTTCTTGGTCCTCCTTTTCTTCTGCTTTTTTCCTTTCTTCCTCTTGATAAGCGGCGTATTCGACCCGCTGCATAACACGTTCCAATATCTGATACTTATTATTAACGTTGGACTTTAATTTTTCGTTCAAATTTTTTGGAGGGACCAACACTTTAGCATATTGCTCGACCAACTTTGTGAAGTAATTACATAGACTGTGATTTGGCCTAAGAAAGTCGAACTGATAATTTCGTTGTTCACGTTGAGATAAGGCGGTCATGAATTGTCGGCCATTGCGCGCTACAAACTGAGCCGTCAATTTTAAGATGTCACTATAAATGAGAATTAGTTCAGTGTCCTTTGTTTGAACTCGATTTTATTTGTCGAGAAAATGATAACATTACAGATCTTGCGCCGATATTGCAGGCATATCACTCATGAATTCAAACGATGGAGGTTCCTTCGGTGGAGCTTTAGGCGGCGGTCCTTCATCCTTGATCTCCATCCTCATTTCCTTTGGTTCGACCTTTTTTGAAACTAAGAAATGTTCGATAATAAATATGTGTTATTGTCCTAATTTAAATTGAGGAGTCATAATAATACCTTTTCCCTCCTTCGTTTCAGCAATTTTGTATTGATAATAAGCATGATAGGGATCATTAGAGTTCAAGAAACTAAATTTAACGTTATGCTTCTCGTTTTCTCGAATGCGTTCTTCAAATTGAACACCATTTCTCGCAACAAAGACGGCTGTTTTATCGACGATATCTACAAACGATCAGAGTTAAGGAATGCAAGTATCGCATTATCTTTCATGATTTACCGAAAAACTTGCACCTGTTTATGCTAGTCTTTCATTTAGGTGCTGTTGTGTTCTTAAAACTTCGGCTACGTTGAAATCAAAACTCACTGAGTAAAGTCGCACAAAAAAGATAACTATGAGGATACTTCTAATATCCGGAGGCGGATAGATAATGCCTACAAGTGGTCTAACCTCCGCTTCATCGTTAACTACGGGTCTAGCATTACTTGTGTCGGTGAACGGAACAGAATAGGTGTTCACTGAAACGTCGGTTTGTAGTATAGAAACCATCTTCGTCTTGCAAATAAAGTTGAAATTTGCAAATATCACATATTTATTCACCGCAGTAAAGCATTACGTAATCGATTTTGGTATATGTGACACCCCCACATTGTAAACATCTTTATTAAGGCAATCATAAACACTATTTCTTTGTGAAATTGGTCTACACGAGAAGTCAATATTAAACCATTTACTTTACTATTTTTTGCTACCAGAAGCTTCTGCCTGTTTCTTTTTTTCAGCCCGTTCTTTTTTTCTTTTAGTCATTTCCTTTTTAGCATATTCTATACGTCCCTGCAATTCACCGCGTTCAGCAAGGATGCGAATTATATTATATATGAATGGAACGAAATTGTGCTTGCGTAAGGAGTTTTCACGCTGTTACGTAGGTCACAAAGTTAATGGCAAATCAATTATTAAGAGAAACAGAAGAATAAAAAAAGAATCCATCGACACACCTCGTATCTTTTAAATTTTTCTCTTTCCAATTCAATTTTTTGCAATAAGATATTTTTATCTTCGTTCAAACGCATCACAGTCTCTGATTCTGCATCCCTATTCGCATATTCAATGTTTAACTCAATTTCATTAATACGTGCTTGATAAACTTCTTCGCGATTTTTTATGAGCGCCAGCAGATTGAACCTAATCTCAGCAGAAGCATAACGTGCCATACGTTCATGTATTACTGGTCTAACTTTCTCCAGCCAGTCATCTTCAGTGCAAGGACCTATAACCAAATTGAAACAATGCATTTAATCGTTGAAGATGTAAAATACGTGGAAATAAATAATGTAAACTGAACGTTACCCAAATTAACTGGCCCTTCGCTTAATCCATCCAACTCGTAAAGTGCACCATGCACTGGAACATATGAAATGAAATGAAAAATGTCCTCTTTTTCAGATGAGGGCACGTCAGTTTGATCCATGAAAAAAGGATCCGAACGAGCAAAACTATTATGAACTGAACGAATAAGAGTGCTATTTGAAATTGTAAGGCCTTTGTACTATAAAAACGACGGATCAGACATTATTTAGTGCACTCCATATAAAATTTTAAGTATGTTTATTTTTTGTTTTAGACTTACATACGAATCAAAATCCTTGGTAAACTCTTTAAGGTTTTCTAGGTCTGGACCGAGATTGATTAATGGACAATTCAACAAAATGGACAAGATAGCTTGAGTTGCGCACGCATTGTTAATAACCTGTCGAGAGGATTATCAATATTAATTATTCAATTAAAGCCAAGTCAGCTACACGTATTCAACCCAACTTGTTTCGCGAAATAAACCCTATTATCAATGCTCAAATCTGCATCCGGGTGAAGCTTTGAACTGTCATTTCCACCTTGCCATTTAAATAGGAAAATTAAACCGTAGACTGGCCTGCAATTAGAATAAAGATCAGAATTCACGTTGATTTTCATCTCATTTCAGGGTCATACTTTAATTCTTCTAGAGTCTGATCGTCCAAGCTCCAAACTTCTTCGACTTGGGTACCTTCGACATTTAGTCTTCTGATTAACTCGGTAAAAACACCTGCGAAGTTAAATTTAAAGATCGGTATACCAAAGAAAAGGTCCAACAAACAATTTCTCTAGAAAGTACCTGGATCGCTTTCAATGAGACACCACTGCCCAGCGTCTGACATAGCGATCTTTGATGGTGTGCATTCGCGAAATTTGGCAAGTATTTTTATATTTAAAATCACATGACATCGACTAATGGTCTGTCTATTATTATACTTCTAATCAAATTGCTAGAAAGATGTGTTTATAATAATAAATTATAAAAATTTAATTTGTTTAAATAAAAAATATTATTATTAAATTTTATTTTTTAAGTTGAATATGTATTAAAATACTAATTTATAAACCTTTTTCTGTTAATCTTTTTATTAATCCAAAAACAAATATTTTACTTTTTTTAATATTATTATTTAAAAACTTTGGTTTTTTTTTACTTGTTTTTTTCTTTAAAATAAATCTTTTATATTTTTGCAAGTAAATACAAAAAAACTTATCTATAAAGTCAAGAGCAAAAACATTTTAATATATATATATAGTATATATAAAAAATTTTTAAGTTTTAAAAAATTTCTTTTATTTTTTTTAATTTTTTTTTTCAAGTACTGTATATAAATTTTTTTTTTATTTTTTTAAAAATTTTATCTATTTTAATTTAATTTTAAATTTTAATTACATTAAAACTTTTAATAATAATTGATTAAAAATTTAATTAATTAATTAATATATAATAAAAAATATAAATAAAAAATATAATTATTATATATTAAAAAACTTTTTTTGAATACAACTTTTTTCTTAAAATTTTTTTTTTAGTAATAATCTTAAAAAAACAAATATTTTTTTTACTTTTCAATATTTCAAAATCCTTCATCCATTTTTTATCTTTATTACAAGAACTTTAAAGAAATTAAAAAAGTATATTAATACATTGAAATAGGACTTTTGATCAAAGAAAAGCAAATTTGGAGTTCTTACTTTTTTTTTTTTTGAAGAAGCAGAAAGCCTGTGGTAATTATTTCTTTATAAATCTTTTGTAATGGTTTCAATAAAGGAACATGTTGGTCATTAATAGTTTGTCATTATTAAAGGAAAACTTTATTAATGGAGA